GGTGAACACAGTCTTTCTTTGGGTTTCAAAGGTAACTTGTTTTTTTTTCAATTTCTTTTTGTATTGTTTTTTTTTCTCCAAAACCTTTGTATGCCCCCCACCTTTTTTGCAGGGAATCTGTTCTGTTTTCCAAGTAAATAAAGGCTACACTCTACAAACAATAAAGAGCTTCGCTTAAAAGTAATTGTTGGCTAAGTTGGACTGTCGTTAAGGGTATAGGAGAGAAAATATTTATTGCTGCCCAGAATTTCTTGTTTTACTGGAAATTTGTTTGAAGACAATACTTTTGAGTACTCCTTTGGATCCCAAATCTATCATCTGGAAGTCCATTCCAAATTAGTGGTGTGTGAGTCACTGTCACAGGTTGCCCTGAGAAGCTGTAGATGCCTCATCCGTAGAGGCTTTCAAGGCCAGATTGAATGGGCAACCTGATCTGGTGGTGGGCAGCCATGCCTATGGCAGGGGGGTTGGAACTGGATGATTTTTGATATCCCTTCCAAATCAAGCCAGTCTACTACTCTATGAAAATTCCCTTATTTCTACATATTAGTGAAATCATACATTACAATTCTAAGGGTCCTGAATATGCATAATTCCCATTGTGCTATTAGCTCAGCAAATCACAGCACAATCTGAATTGCCCTTGTTATACCTGCTGCCAGTATTACTGTTACACAAGAATTTGTATTCTACCTGGCCTTATTATTCTGTCTGGGAACTTCCACAAACATAAGAAATGAAAGTGGTCCAAAAAACCCATGAAACAAAACAAACAAATAAACAAAATAAATAAATAAATAAATAAAACCCCACCATCATAAAACAAACACTAAACAAGTTATGAGCATATGAGTTTCTAATTGTATGCAGGGAAACAACGAATAAAAGGATATAAATGGTAGCACCAATATATCACATATACATTTTTTTAAGGGTGGAATGACCCCTTTTTTGACTGAGTTGGCATTTACTCCTCCCACACAGCCAGTGGACTGCCTCATGCCATTACTTGGCAGCAAAGTGCCAGATGAACCCATTCCTGTGTTAGGGAGTCTCAGCATCACTTGGCATTATGACTGCAGGGACACAATCACCATATTGTTGTAGTAACTTGAAAGTCGCAGAATTTAAATCATTCTCAAAATTACTATATATAAATTATTTAGAAAGTTAAGGATGAATTATTATGTTTTTTATTTCAACTACTAACCAATAAATGTAAAAAAAAATACCAACAACAGAATAAAAATAGACCCCTTCATCCCCCACATTAAAGCAATAGTTTTTGTAACATTCAAAACAGTGGAAACTAGTTACCGTATATTATTATTAGTGGAGAAAAGCAAATTTAATTTAAAATAATTCTTTGAAATTCCCTCGGTGAATGCCAGATGACTCCAGCTTAAACAAATATTAAAAACTCATTTTAAATGGAGAAAAGTACAGACAGCTCAATTATTGAGATATTAAGGGCAACATTCAATTTTAGACACATTTAAGCATCTTTGCCTCCTGGAGATTTTTACATGACATTTTTTTTAGATAAACATGGTATTGCAAACAGCAACTATCATATCTGATCACATAACCTCTGGACTGAAGCAGTATGCTAGCAAATATTTCTCATTATTTAAAGTCTTAAATAACTGTAATTTACTAGGCAGGTCTTCCTCAGAACATTCATAAAATAAATCAAGAATTAATACCCATATACAAAAAGCATTTAGATGATCTGTTACAAATCTCCGAAGAAAAAAAAAAAAGAAGAAACAAAATAACTCAACAACCATAAAAACGACAAACCCTCTCTCTGTGATAAAGCCCAGTATAAATACATTCTGGGACATACTAGTAGTAGAGGAGCTGCCTTTCAACATCACTCAGATTCTAGGAGAAACTCTGTAGCAGCCGAGGTTATACAGAGTAAGAATCACCTAATTTTCAATATCTAGACATTAGATGCCTAAACTAAGCTAATCATCCGGATTCCCTCTGGAGGTAATGGAGATAAGCATTGCCAGAGGAAGATTCATCCCGCTTGTCTTAGGCATCTTTCTTTTAAATGGTTATAGATAGATAAATCCAAGCAATATCAACCTCCCTGGCAGCCTGATACTGTCTTCTTTAGCAATGCACAATACCCTAGTTCAATGGAATTAAGCCAGAACTGAGTTCAGTTCTTTGTTTCATCATTTAGCCTTTAATTCTCCCTCCCAACTTTTTTTTCTTTTTTTTTTTTTTTTCTTCTCAGTTCTCATGAACACAAATGGCACTTTGTTTTTCTTATACTGGACTATGTGTCTGTGAAACCTGGGGAATTGAAATCAACATATATATATATTGCTGCTCTATCAGCTTAAATGCTTTAACATGCATGTGCTCTAAACTGCAATAATGTTCTGAACAGATAGATAGGAAATATTGATTGTGCTTTCTGGGTCTACTCTACCACTTTCAAATGCGTAAAAAACTGTGGCAACTTTAAGGCAGTCAAGGTATATAGATGAATGATAAAATATATTTATTATTCAAAGTAGATGGCTTAAATCAAACAAAGAAAAATCAGGAAGAAATAACATTAGGGCCCTCACTTTTACGTGCATGAGTCTATGTCACCACACATGCTTTGAGGCCTCTGTGCTTCAGAACATTGAACAAGTTCTCAGGGTGAAGCCTGGCCTCAACTCTCTTTCATTTAGGGTTTGTGGGTTCTCAGCAATACCAGCATTGCTGCATCACACCTGGAAACACCAAGCCCTTAGGAACATTAGCCAAGATTTGTAAGGAAGCAGGTGTCAGAACTTAGACTCCTAAGTTTACAGTTAGGTGCCTAAAGCAGCAGCAAAACTGACAAGCACCCTGTGCAGTTGCTCACAGATGCCAGTAGTGAGGCACTTAGCATTAGTTATAACACAAAACAGATGTTTATTAATTATGAGTGTTCCAATGGCAAGTGGAAGTACCCTGGCCAAGTGGTTGTGTGCACTACTGTCAATGTTGGGCAGTCTACTCTGCATCCTAATTCTATACCATTTGTAGAAAATTAATTTTAATAGTTAAAAAAATCTTGAACTGCATACATGAAAATAACTCAATTCTACTGAATGACAATCTAATATGAAATAAGAATATTCACCTTTTTTTCTTACTCTGCCCAAATCCAGGCAATAAATTAGGCTTCTCAGCATGACTGTAAAGTGCTGTGAATTGTATAAACAATCATATATGGACACTGAAAAATAACCCTTATGCACATTGCATTATAGTTCCAAAAATATATTTACAGTCTATTACAAAGATTACAAATGGAAGAGTCTACGTAACGGGATTATTCTAATTAAAAGCTTTTTACAGATTTTCTTCAACAAAGGTGAGGGGACAAAATTGGTGTAACCAAACTGATTTTTCTAATGAAACAAATAAATAAAATGACAAATATAACTGTACAGTGATCTAAAAGGGGGTTCAAAAAAGGAGGAAAAAATGATGCATTTAAGTTTTTGATAACTATCTTTGGTCCTAAATGTGGGAAAACACATTATGTAGCACTGAATATACATGTTTGTTTGTGATGCTCTGCAATTAAAATAGAAAAATATAGTGCATTTTCAATGTATCCAGAGCTCACTACACATAAATGTGTATATAAAACAAGACAGTATAAATAAAATTTACAAGTTTTACAAAGGAAAATTTACAGGATTTTTCATTTGTGTTTTTTTTTTTTTTTTTTTTTTGTGTGGATGCCCACATTATCAAACAAGACCAATTTATGACTGATCCCTGGGATCTTTCTCTATCAAAATCAATAGAAGCAGTCCAATTCTCTTTGGAAGTACAGCATTTCACTGTTGGGGTAGTTCACAATTTTCAGAATTTTGTAAAACATTTATCTTTCATATACATTCTCGCCATATCTGTGAAGACACAGTTTGTTATTGCTTATGGTTAATCAAACACAAAACATATGTAAGTAAATGCTGTAAGAATGTATTCCATTGAGCAAATACTCTTACATCTGTGCTCCTGATGATGACTGCTGTGTCTGTGTGAGTACAAACACAAATATCTGATCAGAGCTGTAAAAGCTTGTAAAAAAATCTGAAAATTTGGAACTGCCCCTTGCCTCATGCTCTATGTTTCTAATATAAAATCTATGTCCTTACTTTCATAGCTGGACTGCATTCAACTTAAATTCATATAAAATATATGCCAGCTATTTCTCTCAGATTTGTTAATGCAAAATATTGAAAAAAAATGTGATGTGCTCAGATTAAATGGTTTAGGTAACACTGGAGAACTGCACCTATGTTCTGAGACACTCCTACAATCACTTGTCCATTCAACGTAGTGCCTCAGCAGGTTTGCAGCTATAGATCTACATTTTAGAATATATCTCACTTCAGTCCATTAAAATCATCTTGCAAACAATTTGCTAAAAGTGCCTAGAACTACATAGGGGTCATTATTGCTTTTCTTTCTTTTTCTTTTTTTTTTTTTTTCTTTTTTTTCTTTTCTTTTTTTTTTTTTTTTGTCTTTTATTTTCTTTTAAAAGATAGTATATGTGTAACCTTAAAAAATTCTTTAAAAAATATCAGAGCTCTTGGCAACTTGCATTATCCTGACTCCCTGCCAATTAGCTAGTCATGTCAATATGGTGCTGATTAAAGAAAAGTAAATGGCACGAAAGGATACCGAAGTTGGGACAGATGTACATTGCTTGGTCATGCTTCTTAAATCTCTAGGAACTCAAATAATCCTTCAGAGGTACCCAGTGTAGTAATGTGTCATAGAATTAGCACTAAAAAGGTCCAAAGATATAAACATCATACTAAAAGAAAGTCTTTATGAAGAATAAACACAAATGATTAAAAAAAGATTCAGAAATCACAGATTTAAGGAAAATATTTTGTTGAATTCAACAATAATATCATGATTTTATCTGACAAATATATTCTTTTTAAAATTTTTATGTACATTTAAAAAGTCTTTTAGATAAAAAGGAGGTTAGAGAGCTCAAGGTGTTTGTATGTTTATTCAGGTAGTACTTTGTTTATTGTCACTGCTGTTTTCCTTGCCACCACTGGTGGATCCTAATTCCCTTTTCATAAATTCTGGTGGCACTTAGGAGTTCAAGTCTGTAGGTGCTTCTTGTAGCTCTTCTATTCACTGCAGGAAGGACCCAGGAAATCAAGTGTCTTCTAGTAGCACTTTATATATACTGAAGGCCAGTGCTGTTCTCTCAGTCTGTCACCTCCCTCATAAGGGAGAAATGTCTATCACACTTGGATGCCAGTGCCGTGTAAATGTAGCATTTGTGCTCTCATAGTCTGAATGCTGCTCATGATTTTCTTTTGATGACCAACCAACGTGATCCCTAAACTCATCACATCCCTGGAGAAGACAAATGCGTACATTGTTAATTTTTCAACTTAGACTGCTACTGTATGGTAATCAATTGTGAGTTAAAGCTATATAGTGGTCTGGGCTACAGGTTTCTAACACTGAAGCTGTACCAGAACCTCAGCTCAGTACTGTGAAGTCCATATAGATCTTCAGTGAGGAGTGTAATTGCATGGCATGTGTCACGTAATTACACTGCCTTATGTGCCCACATCTGAAAATGAGGTTTTGCACTATGATAATCATTTACTGTGGCTTTTAAGGACACCCAAAGGAAGAGACACTTCTCTTGTACAATACTTTCGGAGGCTTTCAAGATAAAAGTTATGTATAAATATAAGATTTGGGAAGTTACATTCTGCTTCCTGAAGAGATGTCTAGTGAAAGCCTTTGCATATTGATCCATACCCATCATGCAAATGAAAAAGGCTGTTTCAATTCCATCACTAGTAGTGCTACTGACCCACTATCTTTTGGGTCAGGATATAGACTGAGGGCCCCAGTGTTACCAGGTAGACAAGAGTGGAGCTGGAAGCTTGAGAATATTGTTTCAAACTTGTCTGGAAAAGCGTTGCTCTATAAAAGGCATAGCAAGTGATTGGCTACTACCAGAATAACAACTTTGTTTTCAGGGTGTCAAGAACTGTTTAAGACAGCAGTGCCAATACTGGCCATGCCTGCCTTCAGAAAACTATTTTGCTTCTACAGTCTTTTATACTAATGCAAAGTCAATTCCTGAAGGACACAGACAGCTCCCAGCCAATTAGAAGAAAGATCCACATCTTCCTAGTACACATCTGGAAAAATATACCAATTAGAGAGAGGAAAAAAAGTGGTTATTTTCCTATACATACGTACTTTAAAATGGGCCAAATTCTTCCTCAAATTCTAGCCTTGTTATTATTTCAGTTAGTCTCAAAAAGTGGAGAATAAAGTGATGCCCACACATAGGTAGAAGGGTAATTGCCCTTCTATGGGATGCTCTATTTCAACATCATGAGCTGCTAAACCTTCTGACTTAACCCCAAGTACTTTGTTTGTACTCAGGATAAAGTTTTTGAATTGAACATTGTGTATTATTTTACCTAGAAGTTCCCTAAATGCAAGTTAAACATGCCCAGTACTAACTTACTCAATAGTCATCCTGGCAACTGATTCAAGAGAGTTGTAGCCTGCTGCTGTGAAATTATCCTTATATCTTTCCATCTTAATAGCTTGTAACCATTCGCCTACGGAGCAGAAAGTGGTAAAATCGGGAGTGTTCTGGTCCAGAAGAGGGCTAATTGGTCTATGGAGAAGGAAAAAGGAAAGTAAGTTGTTTCCAAAAAGAGTTAAACATCAGGGAGTATTTATCAAGGTGAGAGTCAAATAAGTTTGGGGTATTCAAAACTTCAAGAGTAGGAAGTAATTGGTCTTTATAAACAGGCTAGATTATTCTGTGAATACCTCTGACTACACTGTAGCTCACAATATGTATTTCCTAAACTTATTCATGTAAAAGATGAGAGGTCAGAGTGAGCAACAACAGCCTAATGAACTATTTTTTATCAACAATATACCAACCTAGCATGATAGCAACTGTAACTGAAGTTGCTGAGTAAAATAAAGATACTATTTTTAAAGCATCTTAGAGAATGTATCAGTAACTATTCCCATTATTCAACTGGATGAGACAAAACAAAGACAGGGAAAGATCAGAGACACAAAGTAAGTTGCTTAAGGTCACAGAGCAAATCAGTCAGTAGAAGAACTGGGAACGGAACACAGGCAAGCTGATTCCCTAGTGCATTTGATCTAGCTTGTGAATCAAAAGATTACCATGATTAAATAAATCACCTGAATTTTATGAAGAAGTCATTAAAAGCTATATCATGAAGTACAATGAGATGCAATCACTGAAAGGCAATAAAGCCAGAATACTAAAGGTAAAATCCTCAAGTGTAGCAAGTCAAAGTACTTTGGCCAAACAAAAGTATAAATTTCTACTGTATGAGTTCCTGCTAGGCAAGGGATGCATAATATGAAACTACAACAGATTTTAAGAAACAGGGAAAACAAAGACTGCTGGTAGTGGAAAGACTGGTGAGCAGGCAGCAGTTTACTGAGAAGTGTGTTAGTTCCACAATATTTACTTTCTTTATTTTGGTTATTTTTTATGAAAAGTCCCTTTTGGTTTAGTTCAGTGTAGTACAAAAGGAAGGTGAATAAGGGATGGGAAGAACAGGGAACAGAAGAAAGGAAGAACTGAGAGACACATGGAGCAAGTATGAACTGGAACCAGCCACCAACCAGAACATCCAGAACCCAGCCATGCACATCATCATATGAGCACTCACTAAAGATTTTCTTACCTGCTACAAGTTCCCAGAGGGGTTTTCAAGCTGTTTGGATTCCTAATCATTTTGTCCAGAATACCAACTATCTGCTCAAACTTTGGCCTTTCACCACGTTCTTTCTGCCAGCAGTCTAGCATCAGCTGGTGTAGTCCTGCTGGGCAATCCATGGGTGCTGGCAAACGATAGCCTTCTTCGATTGCTTTTATAACCTAGTAGCCAAGATAACGGTCATTTTTCATTAAAGGATATTTAAGAAATAAATTTTTGCTACCTTGTACAAGAGATACACAATAGTAATTATGATAATAGCAATAATAATAATAATAATAATAATAATAAGTTTAATCAGTAAACTAAAATTTGCCACCAGCATTGCAAAAATATGAAACTTTTGTTTTGACACTAGCTTTTATTTTTTCAAATAGTTTCCTGATTTTATCTTTGGGCTTAATAAAAATACTGTTCTGTATGTGGGGAACATAGCTCTATTATCTAGTCAGGTGAGCAGCAGGGAGCAACAATTAAATTCTAAGGGAGTAACAGATAGATTGATAAATGGAGTTATTTCAGAAAGTGTTATTACTTGCCCTAAGGCCTTTATGAGTATGTGGTAGAAGCAACCGACTTGTAAGTGGATAGGGATCTGTGCATACACATATAAAATATAAAAAGCCTGAAAATACTCTAAAAAGGATCCAAGAAAAATGCTTAGCAGATAGTAATTGTTAGGAAAAAAAAGTTGTATTCTATGTCTAGCCATGTTAGCTTAAAAAGTAGCAAAAATGTGTCATGCGGGTGAAGACCTAGCTGAATGGTATTTTAACATATCACCTTAACAGTAAGTTAGACGTAATAAGAAAGATTGCCAAACGAGTATAATTGAAGAAAATCACCAACATCTGAACCAAGAATTACATTCACTCATCAACTTCCTTTGCAAAGTTCATTTGGATTTAAGTGAGAAAGAAAAATGGTTAAAGTAAAATCAGAGAAAAACTGCTGTAAACCTTGAGAGTGGGATAAGAAAGCACATCAGGAAGCAATGCAGATAAGAAAAACTTGTGAAAAAGGACTAAAACATTGTTCATGGGGGATTTCAAGAATACTGACATTGACTGACATAGCAGTATTAGAATTGCTAAGGAAGGGTGCTTGTTCTTGAAGGGTAGTGCACAGTACTGTGTTCTCCCTCAGCTTTTACAGAAAGCAAGATCAGAAGCTGTTCTGGAGTTAGCCCTAGGAAACAGATCTAGTATGATAAATGAAGTTGGTGAATATCCAAGGTTTAGTGAAAATAATAACCTCAAAAAAGCTGGCTAAAATCCATGATTCTATCAAAACCTTTTTTTCAGAAATGAAGTTTTGTGAAAAGAGGACATATATTCCACAGACAGGGCACTTATTCACTGGCAAGCTTGTGTCACAGGATGCCCTTCTGACCTCGGAGAGGTTGTCTCCTCTCCCTGGGCCTCAGCATTCTATCTGTACATTTAGAATGACAATACTATACTATCTCAAAAATGACTGAGAAATATTCAATTCCTGCAGTAACATCCACACCTGGAAGAATGAGTGTGGTGACCTTTAAGTGACAGTGAAGTTATCTGTCAGACAGTGTGGGAAGAGAGGATTTCAGCAGGAGAACAATACAGAAATTGCAAAAACAATACTATAAATGAAAAAAACCAAACCATTAAAAATAAAATGCACGATCTTTTGCAATAGAACTAAGAGGAAAAATAAAAGAACAGCTCTTCTCAATCAAGAGTAGCAGTGAAGTGAAAAGTTAAAATAAGCTACAGTGTGTACAGGAAAACTGGCATGCTATGAGAAGTAAATCAGAAATCTCTAGGAAAAGTTCTTCTAAAGGATAAAAGATAGTATGTACGATACATATGTATGAAGCACTTATTTAAGAGGTCAGAAACAACCACTGAAAAAGTAGATAATCCCAACAGCAAAACCAACATCAAATTATTCAAGGAACTTTGAAATAACAAACCAGATTCTATCCCATTAAGGGATAGTGAATACATGAACACAGTTTTTTCATGTTCACTACAGTCCCAAAAGAAACTAGAGAGATAGGAATCAAGGTATGATATTTTTAAAAGACCACAGAATCAGCTTCTTTGATGTGTATGCTGAGCAAAATGCATATGAAGCATGAAACTTGGAGAAATATAAATGAATGAGTTATCTACTCATGGATGGATGGAATAGCTGGAAACACCTAAAACACTGTAAAAAGATTCCAAAATATAAGTAAAGTAATGTATGTGTCTTTTTGCTTGTTTTTAAGTTTTTACAAAACTGAGACAATTTGAAGGATACCAGTACATACTCTGTTTAGAAAGGTGGGGGTGGCATTCTAAAATTCAGTATTCAGAAATAAAGAAATGGATTTAGGAACATACATGTTTCCATACAAGCAAAGCTACAAAGAGCACAGCTGAAGTTCTCATTAATGGAACTGATTTATATTGTTTACATTTGCCACAATTTGTTTTTTGAATTCTGCTTTTGCAAAAAAAAAAAAAAAAGAGAGAGAGAGAAAACGGATTGCTGCTGAGAATCAGTTATGCTTCTCTCATAATCTGGCTATCTGAGAATGTAAAGTCAATTCAAAGAGGGTCAGGACTGTTCAATGTCTGTGTTGGTTGCTGTCAAAGACCAGAGAAAAATTAAGCATAGTGGGACAATCAAATGTTTGGTTTGTGGTTATCTCACTGTTTCTGGTTATGTAGTAATAATAATAAAAATACTAGTGTTGATAATAATAAATCCAGGAGTGCAGCAAATTAAAAAAAAAGTAAATCTAAATTCTTATCCTTTTCTGAAGAATTAATCCACACCAGCACTAGTAAAAGAACTAGCAAATACTGGCATTCTAATAGGAGAATAGAGTAAAGCACAGAAAGAAAAGTGTAGAAGCTAAACTGTATGAAGGCGCCTGTTACTAGCACAGTATAAGCTTTAAGAGAGATTGCAACAATAATCACTATTCTTTATCATTCTAAAACAATGACTTAAAGGAAGAGGAGTGGGATTAAACAAGTGTCTTCAAAAGATGCAAATTCAGACAGAGATCTGATCCCATCCATGATTACATTCACATTTAAACAAAACAATGCACTTAAGACATATAAACTGCCTGGGCATCTAAGCAAAATGAGAAAAGACATGTTCAGTATTTTTGCTTAGAGTTAAATATTCCCAATGATAACTGTGAAGGAGAATAAAAAAATAGTAAAATGATGATTATACATTTTTGCATCATGGATTTCTTTATATTGTTGATTGAATGTGTATATGTTTTGCAAGGCATGTTTCAGGACATGTTTATAAAGATCAAAACATACAAAAATATTTGAAATTGTTTTTAACAAATAATCAATGCATCTTTTATTTACATGCTACTGAAAATTATTATGTAAATGTTAAAAATAGGTGGAACTGTGAGAAACTGCAATTAGCTATTTTATAAGAAATTATAATTGATTTGCTTTATTTGCAGTTTTCTTTCTAGAATACATCAAGGAGCACAAAGATATTGGAATTTCCACTATTTAAAAGTTGTTCCTTATTGTTCCTTGAAAGACAGGTAAGGTTTGCCTTTGAGGCATCTTATATTCCTGTCAGACTTCTTTTATGTTTGAATCTAGTACAGAAGGAAGGTGTCAAAAGAAATGAAAATCTTCTGGGTGTCTAGGGAATGTAAATATTTCTCTTTCTCTGCCCCAAGGACTTGTTTGCCCATATTTTGACAGTCCATGAAATCTTTGACACTGAGACCTGTCAAATATTAACAACTTTGCACTGTGCAAAACTGACTCATCATTTACACTTTCATCATTTTTTTAAACTTCAATGTCTATCATTCAATCAAAAAATAAAATAATAATTAGAATAAAAAAGAAACTCAAGCCCCCGACCCAAAGAAATTTAAATGTGAATCATTCTGACATCTTTCTTGTCTGCGCAGCTTTTCCCTGTATACTTTCTATATGAATAGATAGTCTTGTCAGAGACCAAGATTAACATCTATCTGTTCTATTACTGCTGACCTGTTGCTCTAGGTCATATTTTATGCAAACAAAGATACTGTGAAATCAGCATAATTAACTTTAAAATGTAGGTCATTAACTGCCACTCAATTTTTAACAACTTTTTCCAACTATTAATCATTGTTCTGAGGTCAGAAACCTCAGAATTAATTTTTCATTGGAAAAAATTAGTTCCTTTTATACTTAAGTATAATAAGGTGAAGTGCAAATATTACTATTTTTGATGTTCCAATTTTACTTTAAACTTGGGACAAAAACCATAATATCCACATAGAAGAAGAAAGATTTAAAGATTAAGTTGAAAAATGAAAGCTCTGTAACTTTTTCTAAGAACCCTACTGTCTCTTACTGAAATAAAATTACATTCATGAATGGTGAAACATGTGTATGCATTTAAAATATGTAATATTTGTGTGCTCACGTGCTCTTACAAAGTATGACCTACATCTTGATTGGACATATCCCAGTAAGGCCGTTCTCCATAAGACATTACTTCCCACATAACGATTCCATAACTCCATACATCACTGGCTGATGTGAATTTGCGGTACTGGATGGCCTCTGGAGCTGTCCATCTCACTGGAATTTTTCCACCCTATGGTAAAAAAAAAAAAAAAGAAAGAAAAAAAAAAAAAGAAAAAAGAAAAAAAGTACTTTTCTCCCACAAATTTCCATACCATTCTACACCATCTTTCTTAGAATGCATTTATAATTACTTCTACCAACATCAAAGTCAGCACTTACACAATTTATCATAGTTTACTGATTGCAGAATCTTCAGGAGTCTTAAGCTCTTAATCACTTGGACTGTAGAAACTTAGGCACCTGTCTAAGCTAAGTTGGGTGCATTTCTCTGTAAGTGCTTCTCTTCTCCCCTTGATTTTAAGGGGCTGCTGAGATGTCTGATTTAAACTCAACATTTAACTCCTGGGTGACTGAAGTTAAGGGACAGGAATCTCATTCTGTGTATATAAATCCCATGGAATTGTCATTTGGCTCTCCTGAAATCTCAGTCTGGCACTTTAAAACCAGGATCCCAGCTAGAGCCCCGTGGCAGGAGTGACACCCCTGAATACCTTTGCAGTTTCCCAGATCCCTGTGCCTGTCAGAGCAGATTCCAGGGGCCCCTTCTTTACTCAGCATGAGAAGGTAGGTACTACAAGGCCTCACTGATAGAAAAGGGAAGATAGCTCAACAAAAGAATAAAGAGCATAGTGTGCCTGATGAATGGTTGTTTAAGAAAAACATCCCATCCAAAAGCAAGGGAAAACACGGGAGTTAAGCTTTGTCACAATCTTGCCTCAAGCTAGTCAACTTTTTGCTAAGATAAAATCTACTCTGAAAAATAATAATACCCTACAAGTATTTTAAGTGATTCATATTAGGTGAGGTGATTAACCTTTCTATGATTCAAACTTCTATACGCATTCAAACAGAGAATTATGTGCAAAGGAATAATGAAGATACTGTACAAAATATTTAGATCTCTACTAAATAAATATACATGCTCTTGCAAAAATATCAAACTCTACTTAGAGCCAGATTTCTGCAGAGACTATCTTCCATTTCACTGTTTTCCATTTCTCAAGGAACTAATGTATTTCTTTTTTCTCTGCTTGCCAGAATATATGCTTCTTAGTAATTATATCTTTAAATGATTAAAAATACATAAATATATAAATTTCTCTCACAGTGGTAGTGTAAACAGCTTCTGGATCATCTTCTATGACTCTGGAAAGGCCAAAGTCTGACACTTTACAAACAAGGTTGCTGTTGACAAGAATATTGCGTGCTGCAAGATCCCTGTGTACATATCCCATATCGGCCAAATATCTCATTCCAGCAGCAATTCCCCTCAGCATTCCCACCAGCTGAATGACTGTAAATTGCCCATCATGTTTCTGGAGGGAAAAAAGAATGGCAATTCTTATTAATATAGCTGATAAAAGAAATAAGAATGATTTTTACAACTTCAGATTTCTAATTATTTACATGAGACAGTTCATCTTAGGGCAAAGAATCTCATTTCAAATGCAAGTTATATTTTGTTTCAGACATAGAGCAGTACATCCAGTTAAGAAATGTACGAGTAGTTCATGTACTAGAAACAACAAAACTCAGCAATTCCAGTAAAATTCTCACTAACTCATGGCAAGTCTTTTTTTAAGAAAGCTTACCTAATGAAACAACTCTTCATAGTTTGCTTTTATGCTCTTCATTTCTAAGAATAACTGTATTTGCCAAGAAAATAAGAATTGTCTACTTTTAGAATCCAAGCAACCAATATTTTTTTAATAGCCTGAAATGTACGTACATATAATTTTTACATATAGTATATATGTATTTCCATTCTCTATAGGGTGGTACACACTGTTTTACAGCTGGTAAGGAGTAATAACTGGCTGGTTCAAAACAAACATCCATAAACTTTAAATGCTTTTCAACTTGTTTTTCTCTTTCCTGTGCTCTTCTTTAAACATGACTATAGTTAATTCAGGGATTCTTTATTCATTTCTGCCATGTTAAAAAAAAAAAAAAAAAATGTAGAAAATTGAGCTTCAAGCATCAGTGGTCTCAATTTAGCTGGTGGCAGTACTAAGTTCCACCATTTCTATACCACATTAAATCACTTAAATTCTTAGAATGTTTCCATATGATCCTGTTTGATCTTCTAATTTCTGATCTTACTCTGCTGAAAAGGATCAAGAACTGCTAATATTCAACAAATTCAATTTCAACCTGAAAAGGCCTTTTATTGTATTACTGTCATACATGTATACATATAACTACATACACATGCAAACATAAAACACATATTATATACATATGCATATACAGACATACATATACATATAAATAACAAGGTATGTTTTTACATATTTTCATTTTGGTACTTACCCTAAGAAATGCATCCAATGCCCCATTTTCCATATATTCTATTACAATCATAACTGGTTTCCCTGAAAGAAATAAAGGCACATTTTCTTTGAGAAACCATAATAAAAATGGACTGCCTTTTTTTGATAAAACATATTATTTCTTTGAAGGACTGAATTGTCGAGACATGAGCATTTCAGAAGCCTCCAGCACTGTTTTTGAGCTCTAATAAGTTCTTAAATGTCTGCATGGAACATGGTCATGATTCACAAAATTAAACTGTACAAATCAAAATGTCAATGTGTTCTCCTGACTCCTGCTGTGTGAACAGGACTCTGGAATAATGACACTTCAGACAATATAAAAGGACATAAGAAACCTTATCTCTCTGCATGGTCTTTGAGGCTAAATGAAACAAGAAAAATAATGTATTTCAAAGTACTTCATCTTTTAATCATGCACGCATCTTAATTTTTTTCCTCAGCTTGTAGCATGAAGTAGGCATTGTTTTAGTTAGTTACGCATCAGGAGAAAATCCATTAGGACTGTGCACCCTATTTATAATTTAAATCTTTGACAATGAATAAACTAAAGTAATTTCTGCCATTAGGTTGTTATCTGACTGACAGATGAAGCTGCTGCTTACCTCTGGTAACAACTCCTTCTAAGTGAACAACATTGGGGTGGTCAAATTGTCCCATGATGCTTGCTTCACACAGGAAATCTCTCCTTTGCTTTTCAGTGTAGCCAACCTTGAGAGTTTTTATGGCTACTGCAACATCTCTCTTGCCAGGAAGCTTTAGACGTCCACTGCACACTTCACCAAACTCTCCTAAAATGAAGTAGATCAACAATGAATTACTCTGACTATAATATCAATACTCTGTACAGGCCTTGATTCCACTAGCTGCTTAAGTATATGTTTAAATTTAGCGTATGAACATTCGTATTTTAAATGGATTACTTAGGAACAAAGTCAGGCACATGCTCCCCATTAATTGCAGAGCGAATACATAGCAGAACAAACATATGAAGTTAAACCAATCTACAGCATTGCTGTCTCAATCTTTGTAAAACACTTTTTAGTAATTTATTGCTGTTTTTTTTTTTTTTCAAAAATAGGAAATAAAAATGAAGTTTATTTCATAAGAAAATACTACTACAGAAATAACACCATTTGAAGTGAAAATATCCTTCAGTTCTAGATGGTTTCATTACTATTGTTAAGATTCTTTTTTTTCCCCCTTTTTAAAAGACACCTCTTTCAAAGCTGTTTTTAATTTAACATTGTTACGGCGTTAAATGAAGCACTACATTATTAATTTCAAGAAGGATAATTTACTTTGCAGATTATAAAATTTAAGGTGTGAATTATAATGTTTTTGTTACATTAAACAAACACAAGCAAATGCTGGAATTCTGTAAAAGGTTTCTAAATTAAAAGATAATTGCAATTATTAAAGCATGTGAAAAAAAAGGCTAATCTGCAAGAACAAAAATAATAATAATAATAAAAAGGTCTCAGCAACTGTAATTTAGGAGAGAAGCAATTGGACTTATTCGGACAGGAAAGTGCATTGACCTATATGAGATGTGGATCTCAGTGTCAGTACATACATCTCATTATTATTATTATTCAGATTGCGAAAGATTTAAGGATTGCCCCTTGCCTCACAGCAGCATCAGCAAGGAGAAAAAGAGAAATCCCTGTTCTGTAGCCAGAAAGAAAAATTTCTTGGGACATACACAAGAATATGGTGATAACATATTTTACAGGGAATAAACAAAATACTTTCTAACAAGAAGGAAAGATTCACTGCAGAGCTTCTAGTAGTCTGGCACCTTGAAACTTTATCTGGAGTATGGGAGAGGAAGAACCAAGTTCCTCCTCCAAATCCAATCAAGTCTGACATTTACCTCCAGCATGACTGTGGAATGTCTTAACATTAAGCTATTGAGTATACAGAAATATGCAGACACACCTATATTTAAGACATGTTTTAGGATGAGCTAAAAAAACAGAGATAGAATTAGGAAAGACTGACATAGACTGTTTGATTAGAAAATCCTTTTGAGATATAAACTGAGGTCCTGAGAAACCTGCTGGGATGGCGAATGGCAGAGCAGAAAGAGTGTCTGTAAAGTGCCTAAGGAGATAGATTCTTAATTGTCCTAATTTATAAATGCTAAGAAATCTTGTTTGAGACATTATCACTGTTCCAGCACTACTATTTTCCTGACACTCCCAATAGCAGAGCTCAGAGAAGATAAAAACACCACCTGCGCCTCAGCTTTGCAGTCCCTCCAGCCCACAGGAGTAGAACTTTGGCCAGACCATATTTCCTACTGACTTGTCTGGGCAAATCTCCACTCCAAATTGCCAGTTTTGCAAATCTCACTGGAGATGATTGCATACATAACCAAATTCCTCTCTCTCTGTTCTGTGCTAGCTGAATTAAGGTTAGCTTCCATCAATTCTAAATACCACTCTAAACACGGTGTTGTATCTGAACTAATCAGACTGATGAAGGATGTTGTTTTTGCCTGAACAGATGAGGCATTAGGCTCAACTATACTCAGGCAATGGAGTTATGGTATGAACACCCAAGTCACAGCTATGAATATTAAAAGGCAGGGTCATACGTAATGATCAGCTGATAGATTTCTCATGTCCTCAGATTTGTGCCTTAACCTTCCTCCTGCGCTTCATTAGCAATGTTGATGACTATTAATGAATTCACTATTCACTTTAATCATAGTCTCTAACCACAATAACTGACTAAAGGATAACAATTTTCTCTCTCAGTACCTTCTGGAACTGTTTTTATCCCATGCTGCGTGAGTACTCATAAGACGTGAGTATATGTATGTGTTTGTATGTGATACTTCAATGCCAGGTAATTGGGAGACTTGGCATGGAAGACACTAAGGTTTCCTTAGTGTCTTCCAGCTATCCTTTCCAGCTCTCTGGGATCTGATTTGGATTGATTTCCAAAAGCAGATCACTCATACTCAGGCAAACCAGAAACTTGTACGTGTATAGTATGCATTTCAGGACAGGCTGCTAGCCAAATAACTTTTTTTCCCAACAAAGCAGTAGCTTTCAGTTAGCTGAAATGGTGCCCAAAATGGACCCAGAAAATATGACAAGGGTGTGAACACTGCACAGCTAACAACCACTAGCTCAGCATGTCAACAAGGAGCAGGCTATGACAAAGGATCTGCAATAGGAACAAAGACTCCACACAGCGGGCACCATAATCTGTATCAGACAGGTGGCCACAGCAGGATGGTAATGAAAACGTTGGCAAGTAGAAAACATAACCCTCATGCAAATTGAGCACAAACATACTTGCAGCCTGTTTGTCTGAGAGAGACAGGGCACTACTCAACAGGTGAGGTGGCCAGCAGTGCTGGTACACATTGAGACTGTTAAGTGGCTTTTCTGGTGCTGTCACTAGCAGCAACTCTACACTCTTCTTTGACATACAAGTTTCAGCTGCTTCTTTTAGTCTTCAGTGTTCTACTGTTTCTAGATTAGATTTCACTTCACTCTATGTTCATAGGGTAAAGCCATAGCTAAAACCCCCCTACACAATGTATCTTCACCATAGTACTTCTAAATAACTTTCTTTAGAACGACCACTCTCATAAATCTTTTTTGCTATCAGTTATACTAATTAAAATAAAAAATAAATTAATCTGTCAACAAAATTAACACTGTGGATTTCCTTTGCCATAATACTGAAAATATTAGTGTCTCAAATTGTATCCTTTTTGCAAGTGAAGCATTTTCAGCATTTTGCTCAGAAGGCTTCAGAAAATCCGACTGAACATATCATCACGTTCAGAACTCTTGCAATGCTGATAGTTTTTTAGCTCAAAGCAAAAGATAAAACTGTAATTTTTCTGTGCTAATCTCGATTTTTAATCTTGTATACTGCATGTTTATTAGAAGAGATGTTGCCATTCTAGCATCACAGAAAATTACTAGGGATTCTTATGCTCTTACTCATCTGAAACAGTAATTTTCTCAAGCAGTGTTGTTAATTACTATGGTACAAATCCTTGATAAAGACATGATTCAACAAGAGCGAGGTTACTTTAAAAATGTGTTGAGAATTCTAAGTGTAAAGATTTTTCTGCTAAAACAGCTTATTTTAGAGATCTTTATTATTCTCTTTTAAAATAATACCGCACTATGTAATTTACAGTCATGCCAAAGTACAGGGTGATTTTAAAAGTATTCTACTAATATTTTTATAAAACAACAGGAAAGCAAAAGAAAATTTCCTCCAGGAATCCCAAGTATTTGATATTTTTCTTACCCACAGAAATTTAATTTCACTACATAGAGTAGTGCAATAAAAATGTCACGTACCTTATTAATGCAAACAAATGAAACTGCTTTTTTAGAGCATGAACACCATGTCTTAAGTAGGTGGTAGACAGTTCAAGAGGAAGAAAAGCAATGTAATGCTGGTGCAATTACAATCAGTCACGAGAAGTTAAACAATAACTTTTTGTCTTCATAAAATATCAAAAAGAAAAATGGCAGAACAGAAAACAGCCTTAGGGAAGATTTTGTTCTACAGAAACAAGACCTTCCTAGTCTGTATGTAAGATTTTGTGCTGCAGCCAGTTTTCTTACTAACATGAAGAAAAAATGAGAGGCCAAAAAACCTTTTGCAATAGGAAAGCAAGCAGAATTTGCAATCATGCCTAACCCATTTATTCTGGCAGTAAATAATAAAAGCAGAATCACTTCCCCCCCCCCCCAAAAAAAAGCATACTAAACAGTACATATAGAAATTAAGAACTCACATCTTTCAATGTCAAGCAGAATTTTTCATATATTTATTACATATATATATACTAATTCTACATATACCCTTTTTTGTGTCTGTTTTTAGCTTTTTGTTTCCCGGTTTGTTGTTACATTTTAGAAGCAAGAGTAGCTTCACTGCTCTTAACCACTCTGGTGAATGCAAAAAGTTCTTCTGTAGAGGAGGTATAATTATTTGCCTGTCATTATGATGTATGAGTTTCCATCCTGGCTAAATGGAACAGTTGAATAAGGAAGCCACGACAGCCTTACCTGCACCAATCACACGCTCAATTTTAATACAAGAGGCATCTAGCTCCTTGGCGAATTGATGGACAGCTCTATTTGGGTCCTCGTAGGTTTCAGGGTCAATGTAGGTTTTGGTGCCTGGAAATTTAACTGTAATGATGTAAGAAAGCATGACTGTGATGAAGCAAAGGCACTTATTATGCAGTCAGCCCAGGAATTTCATTATGCAGAGTGCTTCTTGGAAGAATGAGCCTGCTTCCACAGCGCCTGAGTCAGCCGCTCTGAGAGGCAACTTTAGTTTTAGGCATCGTCTGTAAGCATGCTGACACAAGTGCACAATCCCAGCTTTAAAAATGACTAATATTAGCATTTTCACCTACACCTCCGAGTGAAAGAATAAACATTAAATAACATTCAATGGAACAAAATACATGGCCGGAGTGGGAGTAAAAGTAAAGTGAGGTGTGGGGGGGAGGTTATAAAGGAGGTGAAGCTTTCCTTTCTGTGTAAAGACAGCTTACCCTCTTTCCCAGATTGAGTAAACAACATTTCTTTACGTTAACTCTTTCTTCTACAGGGATTTGAAAAGCTCCTCTACCTACTTCAATTTGTTTAAACTACTCAATGTATTTCCAGATTCTGGCAGTAGCCAAGTTAAATTATTCACACCTCTTGAAATTTACATCCTTAGGTATGTGTCTTACACTACAATATGAACATAAGAAACACTTGTAATCGATGTGTAAAGGCACAGGAAGGGAAAGCAGATGCTGTGGAACAATTACCTCTCTCCCAATGACCTAAGTGAATAAAATGTAGCACCTGGGTTCTGCTCCCTCATTTTCCAATAGAGCTCTTAGTGTAACTTAGGCAGCATAGTGCTCTGGCCAGCAAGCAGTGTTTCCCTTTTCCTGCTGATGCAAGAAAATTATTTGCTTTTCTTTTGAAAGCAGAAACTTCTGGTGAAAGTAGAGCAACCTGAAAATCTATTAACCAAGCAATTTTTATGAAATTAATTTGACTCTCATGGATTACGGTTCTGGGTTTTAATTAAATCAGCAAATTAAAACTCAATATGGAAAAGCAGTAATGTTCCAGTGCTAAATGATGCACTGATATACATGAATTGGATCAAAAGTCAATACATAACATAAATAATTTATAGTTGCTTTGTAATTTCTTATTTGATCGTAAAATATTTTAAATTTCAAGATATATTGAAAAATGGCTTAGTAATCACATGTTTTTACATGTCAGATTGCATTATTGATAGAAACATAAAATCAAAAACTTGTATGAAGAAAAAGCTAAAGTAATTGACTGAGAAATGTAATGAATTTGCAGATAGAAAAATTATTCAAGATTTTGCCCAGATTATTTGGGTTACCAAAGCCCAGTTATTGCTTGCAATATTATGTACTCAAATGTTCTTTCAATTGTATCGACAATGCTACAGATTTTCAAAAATGTAAATATTTTTTAAACCAAAAAAAGACCACAGAAAAAGAGAATAAATCAATAGATTAAACTCCTATAATAATGCTTTTGGGCAAGGAGTTGAGAATGAGCCATCCTCATTGTATTTCTGATAAGAGGCCTGGATTGGAGGTAACCTTGTGAATCTCAAATGGTCCTCTGATGGTTCTTTATTCAGGTTGTCATAAAACATTTCGACAGGCCAAGGCTATCACAGAATACCAACGCGAAATAGCATTGGAATGGATTTGAAGACACTGTTAGAAGAAGGTAGGAGGAAGCAAAATATAAATTTGAATTGCTTGAGTAAATTCCTCCACTGTTTTTAATCTTTAAATGTAGTACTTGGGCCACAGAAAATTCAGGGGGATAGAAATAGAAGACAGGATATTCTACAAAAAGCACTACTTTAAAATTTGTTATAAATATAATTACTTGTAAAGTTTTGTGTTAAATGTTTGTTGTAAGTTAAGCTTTTGAAAATCCAGTGTGGTATCTCTATATATAAGAAGGTTGCCTAGAGGTCCTGAAGCAGAAAGATGCCACAATTCTGTTCACAGCTCTGTGAACCAGCTGGTTACCAAAGCACAGTGTTCCACCTTCTTCTGCTTATGAGTATCAAACAAAATTAAACGCTAGGCTGTCAATAAATAGATGATGAAAAGCTATATTGGTAAAAATGACTTACACTTGGCAGTATTATTTTTAAAAAGACTGTTATGACTGATTTTCTGTATAACCAGATTTCACCAAAGGAAAATAAGAGAAATAAACATTTCTCACAATTTCTAGATCAACTATTAAATGTTAAGTAGCAGCTTTCATGTTAATTTGCTTACACTTCCACAGAAACAAAAAATATAATAGATAATGGAAATGAGGTGAGGGATTATTTAGCTATCATCTTCCCTTTGTTTATACGCTCAAATACAAGAATAAATAATCAATCTTTTCCTTCAAGGACATAATGGGTATTCAAAAAGTGAAAGCAGTAGCTCTTCTGAAGATATGAAAAGCTTATAGTGCATCTGTGAGAGGCAAATTTCAAAACCATCACTTCTAGAATAGAAACATTTAAGTTATATCAGATTTTCGATGAACACTTTAAAATCAGCTGTTCTGCAAAGTGCATGATAAATAAGTCTTATCCCATTATTATTTTCCACCTTTCTTGTACAGATTATAAACTGATTGATAAAAGCTGCAATGTTGTCACTGCTTGGTTTAATACTCGCTGCATTTAAATGAAATTATTTAGGTAGCAGCACATCCATACTCACAGATTCTATTTGATCTGATTCTGTCCAGATAGAAAGGTGAAATAAACCTTGATCTGATTTCCAATGGATATTTGGCTAGAGCTCCTGCTTTAGAGTTATGCACTGAGAAGATGCTATAGATTTTTGACTAGTGGCTACTTCTTTCTCCACATATCATCACATTCCAATAGTAGGTCGTGATTTCAATAAATATGAAATCAGATAAACCTTACTGCTTTCATAAAAAGAAAATCAGATGGATTTAAACTACAGCTGTTATTGCTGTAGTTATTTGTAGACAACAAAGGCTACATACAGCACAATATGACTACATGGCATTGTCTACCGTTATGAAAACTGGAAACCCAGGCTTTTCTGGGGGGGAGGAGATGAGGTCAGAAATTGCATACAGTTTAATTCTGTTACGTGTTTTTGAAATTCGAACACACAAAATAATTTTTTGTAATTTACTTTAATTGTGTACTTCCTGAGTTAATGTCTAATTCTAAAACAATTTCAAACATTTTTTCATTTATGATGTCAAAATGACAATAAAACTGATATGAGAAAGGGCTAAAATGTAAAAGTTATAAAAATTATTTTCTGATACAACTGAAAATATTCTTTTTTTTACTGCACAAGCCCTTTTCTCATCCTATATTTTCTATTGTCATTAAGGAAGATTTATTTTATTGTTTTACTGAATTTTCCCAGAGTTCTAGCATAAATTCAGATGGCAGCTAAAATTCTGAAAAGAGAGACTTTGTCTGCTATTCATTGCTAGGGAAGTGTTTTTAGAACACAGAGCAATAGTGAAACATCTAATCTTTCTTTTCCTGATAAATAATTTAAGGACATTGTTAAAAATACTGATACTACTGCATTTGTTGTTGTGGAAAACAGGTTTTGAGAAATGATGGAGACAGTGACTGCCACTTGCTTAATCTGAAGTTTGCTTAAGGTAAAAATCATATAGTAACTTAGCCAAAGACCTCTCAAACACTGCATCTCAGAGTGATCATTAGGACAGTATGAAGCATATTCAAAGCAATCCATCAAAAAACGCTGAATGAAAAAAAATGGGTTATCATATGCATGTACAAAAATAAAACTATACAAGCAATGCTGACTTAAATCAGCATTCTTTTTCTGTAGGTCACATTTTTACAGTGTTTAACTTGCCATTTACATAGCATTTTTTAATTTCTTTGAACTTTGCAATTCACAGAATGCTATTTTAGTATTGCCTACAGTAATGCAGTTGGGAATTTTTGAAAGGGACAAAAAAAGCAGAACACTTACAATGAAAGTAAAGCTCTTCATCCCCTTCTTGATCAGCTTTGCTATAGCCACAATGCCTGAAAGGAAAAATGTCAGTTTTGCTGGTAAATAATGATTTACTTCCTCACATCTGAAGCCCTGACAACATCAGTCCTTTGGGCTGGGATTTTCAGGCCATGAGCACCTAACTCCTGTAGGCCCTTTGAAAGTTTGAGCTATAATTCTCTTGACAGCAGAGGTTTAAATAAATCATGAACAGTTGTAATCAAAAGGCTTTTGTATCAAATACTAGTTGGGACAGGTCCTAAAGAACCTTGTTCTTGTGAAAAGCTTCTATGGATAAAACAGAGGATTAAAGAACTTGAAAGTAGAACACTACTTTACATGAGGGTATTCTTAACCTTACTGTGCCTCTTTTTCTTGAATGCAAAGTCATTTAAAGGCTGATCAGATAAAGTGTCAGGCTTCTCTGTGTGAGAGAAACTAAACAGAAAGGAATTTTCATGAGTACAAGTAAAGAATGTGCTAAGGGTTCCTTTTACAGCACATTCACATCAGACTGAAAGAATATCTTGATTTAAGAGTGTCCTGGATAAACTGTATAATTGATAACGAGATTTAAACAAAAAATGTCCTTACTAACCATGAGTTCCATTTCATATTTGCAAATTACTATCTTAGAAGTTCTTATGCCTATGTAATGTGCAATACCTTCGGCCGATGATGAATCCAAACACCATGAAGACCAGAATGATGGTTCCTGCCACAGCGACTACAGCTATGATAATAACAGGATTCTGTTCACTGGAAACAGCAGTGGCTGCAAACAGGGCAAAGAGCAGAGATTAGCTTAAAATTATTCCCTGCAAAAGAGCTGCAAAAAATTAAATCAACCTTAATGAATTGCAGATGATTAGTTTACTTTTTTAGTTGCCCAAGACTATCAAATTGATTAAGTTAATATAAAGAAAGGCCTCTATCAGAAATTCATCCCTGATCATCAACAGGGAATAAAAAGGAGTTATGCTGGAATTGCTCAAAGTGGTACAACCACTTACTAAAAGTCATCACCAACCATTTCAGTTTGCTGAAAGCCAGCATCAACCCTCCTACTGCTGCATTTTGTTCTGCTTTGCTCAGTGACTAACGCCTTCCTAAAAGAGAACAAGACATCCCTGAAAAAGGAGACAGCAGGAGAATGAATGCTGAAGAACTCCACTTCTAGCCTCACCCCTAAAACTGACTGAAATGACTTCAATGAGAATCCTAAGAAATTGTATAATAAGTATAATAATATTTAAGATTAAATATTATCTATTACCACAGACTTCTTAGCATATTTCTTTCTTATTACTATTAATCACTGTAAATTGTTATTATCACTTAAAATTTGTTTCTGTTAGCAATGAAGAAGTGTTTCCACAAATACAAAATGGAATTCTCCATGCTTCAGAGATTTTACATGCTAAAATATCCACACACTATTGCTCTTTTTACTCAGTTATGCCAGTTTTATTAATAAATGCAAATGTATTCATGTCACATTAATTTAAACTGAGGGTGTAAATACATAGCCTGAGATACCTCAAAGTTTGTTAAATACTGTACTTGCCACTCATCTAATGAGGATGGACCTACACTCAGCTGCATTAAATGAGCACAACTCTACTGAACATTATGGAGCTATGCTGATTTATAACAGTGAGTATCTGGCCTGGCCCAAGAGGCTGAGAATAAAGAAGGAGGCATCAGGCAGTGATAATGAGGTAGGGACTGTGAAAGTGTGAGTCATTTGGAAGCAGCAGAAAGGTGTGGAAAAAAAAAAACCAAAAAAACTCTCAGCTGATTAACTAAACTGTAGATGGTACGTTAATACAGTTAATTGATTAAGTCATGGTAGTACTAACTAAAGATGATGATTTCACGAACTCCACAGAATCTTCCTCTTGCAGTTTTCATAGGTTCCCATAGAAACAAATACACTAGTCCCTTCCTTACTCTGTCTTAGGAGAAGTAAACCAATCAACATGATTTATGATTTATTTTGTCACTGATCTGTGCTACATGCTTCCCTCCTAAAATAACAATCCTCCTGTTTTGTTAAACAGTGTAAAACAGCACCTCTGTGTCGAGATGAAATTTCCTTCTCCCCTAGGTTTATTTCCTAAAGAAACTTTATAATTTCTCGATGTTCTACATGATGCAGGTGAGGAATATCTCATTATTCATATTGGGCCTTAACTGAAAAGAACAAGCGTTTATTTTTGAGTTAAGTATAACCTCCTGAGATACTCAGGTTAGCAAGGTGCTACCAAAGGCCTGCACATACCCCATTTTTGCAATGTTTAGGAAATTAGTGTACTCTTGTACAGGAGTGTATGGGCCCAAGTAATACAATTCAGTTCCTGAATAACGCTGACTGCCCATCAAATGACACAGCCTTAAACACAGGTATGTTGAGTTTATGCAAAATTTCCTAAAACTTTATCATTCCTTCTTAGAACTCCTGTGGAAAACTTTCTTGGAAATGAAAAAGTAGCCATCTTGTCCCAATGGCTAGTGTGCGAAGTTGTATCCATCTAACAGTTTGGAATAACACCCACTCAAACTTGTCACCTAATCTAGCAGCCAAGTTGAGTGCATAGAGGTTGACATATGTGAGTGGGTTGCTCTGCATAACTGCCTCAAGATGTTGGATACCAGCACATTCTGGAGGCAAGCCGAGGATGTTATTTCGGCTCTACAAAATGTTGGGGGCAGAGTAAACTGTCCAACTGGTAAGATAGGTGGGACATAGTGCATGATGTACTTTTACATATTTGAAATAAAAAAGCTCTGATGTGGGCATGGTCTGGTGACAATCTAGTGACAGCAGTCTGAGACATCTGCCTCTGTTCATGTACTGTATCTGTGCTGCTTCTCCTGTTTGTGTTATGAACTCATGCTGTTACTTGGCTTACATGCAATTCAGATTCCAACTTCTGGAATGTGGTCTGGCAGAAATAAAGATGGTAAGAGTGCTGTGAGAGAAAAGATTTTGGAGTGCAGATGGCATGGCTGCCATCCACTGGTGTTGCCATGGTGGTGGTGGCAGGAAAACATCAGCAAGACAGAGAAGTCTGTCCTTACCTCCAGTTAAGCTGTGCTCAGACTCAGAAGGCAAAAGAGGGAGTAACTACAAGTGACATCTGACACTGCAATATCTGCTAATCCAAAGGAATGAGGCAGTCCTTACTTTAAAGAAGTTAAGGCTACCTTCTAAGTATATGGTTGAAGGGATGGGGAATGTACACCCAAATATGCTGGAGGATTTAAAAGAGGAGATTAATTGTAAAAGCTGTACTGCACCTCTAGCAACATTTTTTTTCATGCAGGCAACCTGAAATGTACGAGCTGCAGAAAATACTTGATGAAGTGAACATGAAAACTTCAACAGTAATGTGATTTAAGATATCTTTCAAGTAAATCAGTGGATCAAAAGGTAAAATTACCACTTAAGTGACATTCTTTGGATCTGCATTTTCTTTCTTTGGGACTTTTCTCTAATAAACAGCAGAGGTTCCAAGAACAAAATACAGTGATTCAGGTACTTTGTTCTGAGACAAATATAGTACAGAACATAAATACACTGCCTTCATAAAGCATTTTTGCTTTATAATTTTACTTTTTTTTTTTTTTTTTTTTTTTTTTTTTTTTAAGATAAACATGTATATGTAATCCAACGTATACAGTATGTATAAATACAGGTATTAAATATGTATATTTTACATACATGGTTATATGACATAGATTGTTTCTCAAATACTGAGAAGTGGCCATGCAGTTTTGATTACAATACAAAAATCTGTTAAATCGACTGCACCAATCAAGAGGTGCTAAACAGCTGAAATATCAAGTGAAATTGAGTATGCAACAGGGCTAGCTAACTGTGCTGGTTGAGTATTATCACTACATATATTCTTGAAATACTCAGATAGTCTTAAAAGCCACATTCAGAAAGTCATTGGAATAAGTAGAAAACAGAGTAGTGCCTCTTAACTGTAGCGTAACATGGGTTTATTGCTCACTTGTACAGTGCAGTACATTTCATAAAAATGATCCACTAATGTTCTTATGAAATGCTAATGCGTGCCCAATTTTATTAACCTGCCAGATCTGATAAAATTACAAATAAAATAGGAGAAACAAAGATTCTTATTTGCATGAGAATTCTAAAATAATTTGTTAAGTATGCAATCTTTTTACCAACATTTTAATTCTTTCTGACAATTTTATATGGAACATTGGAGTTGCATATCACTGATGGGAACTGCATCCTTTCCTCTCTTGAAAATATGCCACTTTTGAAATTTTCTTTTGTGAAAGCACATGACATGGAATGTCAAAAAAAGCTAGCCTGTGACAAGACAAAAAATCTGGTGTGCATACTGTTCCAGTATGTCACTGATTTATTTGTATCCTTTCATTACCTGGACTGAGAAAAGGTGTACATGATGCAAAACGGTCAGATTTATTCTAGGATTTTCTACTCTTCCATAAGTTAATCAAACTCCAGTCAAGCACTAGGTTTTTTTTAAGGCTTATCTCAGAAATTGTCTTTGTTCATCTTGGTGGCTACTAGTATGCTTACATGGAGCAGAAAAATACTCATATCAGAAATGAAATTTTGGGGAAACATTTTGATATAATAATTTTAAGCAACCGTGATTAATTAGTAGAAATCTATGACAGATTGCAAAAGCCTTTAAATATTTTTTTCCCCAGAAATTTATTCAGATATGAAGATTATTCAGATATAAAATTACTTCTGTCTATAACTCAGGATATTGTTGCTTGTATCTCAGAGATTTCACTGAATCTGACTGCCTATGTAAAGCAGAACTCTACAGATGAAAAGCCTGCTATTAGACACAGAGCTAATAACATTGGTCATAATATTTTATTGCTACTATTATGATAATTACTATTTCAATTAAGTCTATCAGGTGTGTGCTATTACTTCTTATTGATAATTTTCATATCCTGCGTGGAAGCAAGATTAAGACCTAACTACTGTTTTTTAAATATACCTTCAAATTCTTCAGGCGACACCTGGCTGCAGTTAAATAAGATGCAATTGTGCGTATCTGCATAAAGCACAGAGCAGAGCTGGTATCTGTAGCTTTTGAACCTGTAGGCTATGTATTTCCAGCTCCAAACTAGGCTGAGCTGCTGGGAAGGTCAACCTGAAGCAAATGACTCAAACCCAAATGGCCAAATTTTTCTGCAAGGGACATGGGCAGCTCCGATCAGCTGGCTCATGGCTACCAGCTCTCAGTGGTACAAAAGTTTCCTTCTGAAAACTCAAAATGTGGAAGTATGCATGCACACAACTACATGATGAGTCATGAAAAATGTGTCAATGAAATTTCTAGACAAACAAGGGTACATGACTGGTTTCATCATCAAGAAAGAGCAAGCTCTCCCAAAATATCTCCCTGCTAAGTTGTCACAGACAGAATCTCCGGTGTACTGTATGAGCAAGTTCATGCTCCAGGTTCATACTTTCCTTTGTGAGGATTTAAGGAGACTGTTTTTTTCTTTACATAGCTTACTGCTTATTACAAGAACCTTAGAGAAATCTAATGTCTTTGAGACCTTTATTCTTTACTAAATATAAGTGAAACTGAGCTCAGAAGATAGTAAGAACAGACATATATCTGAAAAAAGACAAACCCATATGTAAACAAACTGTATAAAGGTTTGTTTGTTTTTGTTTGTTTTCTTTTTTTTTCCTAGGAAATTACACAGAAAAAGATGTCCTGGAGAAGCCTCCATGGACTGAATCTGTTTTTCCTTTCACTCCACAGTTACTGAAGAATCTAGCAGAATTGCTCAGCTCATATAACCTCTTGTAATAAGGGAACAGATGTGTGTTCAAATAATTAAAAAAAAAAAAAATTCAATTTCTCTGCACTAGAAAGACATCAGAGAAGAAGAACCCAATGTTACAAATATAATGGCTATTTATAAGAGTGCAATTTGTAGTTCTATGGTAACATAAGTAATTGAAGTTCATCCTTCGAAATACAATGACAAAATCCACTCACAGAACTTTTTTTTCCTTCTGATTTTAATAACATTGCCTATGACTCTTTAATATTTTGCACTACTTACTATTTCTGAAATGCTTCATTTGTTACTTAATGAAAATGCAAATTTCCCAGAGATCCAAATGTTTACCTGTGGCTTCTTCTAGTGTGGCAACATCCAGTCTGGGGCTATAATTTCCATAACCAGCAGCAGTAAAAGCACGAATCTGGAAAACATATACTGTTCCTGGCTTTAGGTTATTAATAGAAGCTGAAGTGGACTTGGTTTTTACTGTTGAATAGGTTCTCTCCCTTTGATCCTGGAAACAATCAGACAAAAGATTTAAATGACATTTACAGGTCAGATTTTATCATGGTTACACATCAGCAACTGACAGCCAGCCTGGGTAGTTTATTTCAATTTGTTGAATGCTTTTTTTTCCCATCGTAAAAAATAAAGCATACTCTGTGGAGTATTACAAAATACTGCCATTGCAATGACGAGGTCGAAGTGTAACATAAAATTCAAATGGGATGCTCGTGTTGTTACTCATAAAAATCCAGACATAAAACAATTGCTTCTTTGGCTCGGATTACATTTTGTGAAATTATGATGGAAAAGTAGCTTGAACGCAGCTTTCCAGAGGGACCTGTAGAGTTTAAACAGTTCAAGGACAGGGAAATCTGTTACTGTATGGTCAGAACACATTCTGTTCCTAACTTCCAACACTTCTAAAAAATTATAATAGCACTAATGTTTAACCAGATGGATTTTGCACCAAGATCTCAGGTCTCTGACTAGAAATTTTCAATTTTTTCTCTAGCTGTTCTCAGGTTCTAACTCTAGGGCACCAAGAAGAATCCAGGGAGAGAAGCTCAGTATGACACTTTCAAAATATGAAGCTGTAATATCACAAGTCCTATGAGTAACTGCTCACTTTCAAATGCTATAAAAATGGTATCAAAGACATTTATTATATTCAAAAAGTTACAGAATCACAGAATCATTAACGTTGGAAAAGTCCAACCATTCACTTACCACCAACGTTGTCCACTAAACTATATTCCTTAGTACCATATCCACACATTTCTTGAACACTTCTAGGGCCAGTGACTCAACCACTGCTCTCAGCAGCACATTTCATGTCTGACCACCCTTTCAGGAAATTTTTCCTAATATTCAACCTGAACGTCTCCTCGTGCAACTTGAGGCCATTCTGTCTAGTCCTATCACTAGTTACACGAGAGAAGAGGCCAACCCTCAGCTAACTACAACCTCCCTTCATGTAGTTAGAGAGAGTGATAAAGTCTCCCGAGCTGCCTCTTCTCCAGACTAAACAATCCCAGTTCCCTTGACCGCTCCTCATAAGAGCTGTGCTCCAGATCTCTCACCAGCTACACTGTTCTTCTCTGGACACACTAGGACCTCAATGTCCTTCTTGCAGTAAGGGGCACAAAAAAGAACACATTACTTAAGATGCAGTCTCACCAGAACTGAGTATAGGGGATTTATCACTTCCCAGCAACACTATTTCTGATACAAGCCAGGATGCCATTGGCTTTCTCAGCCACCTGGGCATACTGCTGGATCATGTTCAGCTGAGCATCAGTCAACATCTGCAGGTCCTTTTCCTCTGCAGAGTCATCCAGCCACTGCCCTAAGCCTGTAGCACTGCCTGAGGTTGTTTGGCTGAAGTGCATGACCCAGAACTTGGTTTTGTTGAACTTTATCCCATTGGCCTCAGCCCAATAATCTAGCCTCTCCAGATCCCTCTGTAGGGCCTTCCTCCCCTCAGGCAGATCAATGCTTCCTCCCAAATTGGTGTCATCTGAAAACTTACTGAGGGTGCATTCAATCCCCTCATCCAGGTCATCAATAACGATATTAAACAGAGTGGGTCCCAATACCGACCCCTGGGGAATACCACTCGTCTCCAGCTGGATTTAATTCCGTTCATCACCACCCTATGGGCCAGCCATCCAGCCAGTTTGTTAACCAGCAAAGAGTGTACCTGTCTAGGCAAGGGCTGTCAGCTTCTCTAGAAGAATACTGAGAGAGATAGCATCAAAAGATTTGCTGAAGTCTAAGTAAACTACATAAACAGCTTTTTCCTCATCTACCAGGTGGCTCACTTGATCAGAGAAAGAGATGAGGTTGGTCAAGCAGAACCTGCCTTTCATGAGCCTGTGCTGGTTGAATCTGATCCTGTTGCTGTCCTGCATATGCTGTGAGGTTTCGCTCGAGACGATCTATTCCATAACCTTCCTTGGCATCGAGGTCATGCTGACCAGCCTGTAGTTCTTTAGATTCTCCTTATGACCCTTTCTGTAGATGAGAGTCTTCATCACATTCATGGAATTCATCACATTTAATGATTGAGATTATCTTTCAGAACGGATATGTGCAGCTCTGTTGATTTTCAGTGGCAAAAGCAACCCTGACTTGAAGGGCAGAAGAGGTGAGCTAGCCAACCATCTGAATGCACCACATGACCAGAGAAGCATGAACTTTATAAGGCAGTGCTAATGAGACAGATACAGAGGGAAGGAATAAATCTGTAACTCATTTCAATTTGTCAGCTAAGAAATGATGAAGAACCTTCCCCTTTACAGTCAACAAAGCAGCAAAGGCTTCTGCTGAAATACTGGATTCAACACAACATATTTGATTTCTTTTCAGAGATTCACTAATGGCTTCTCCTGGGCCTTGCTCTCTCAGTCATTTGCCCAAGCCCATCAACTCAGCTAGCAACAATTTTTCATATCTTTTCCAAGAAAATTTGAATCATCTTAAGTGAGGACCATGGTGGAATGTATGTTGATATGTGAGGAAGAACAAGAATGCTTGAGAGAGGAGAATCAAGCACAATAAGACTGTAAATACTCATACAGGTTCACAATTGTAAGCCACAATGGAATTTCAGAGTTTTGGGTTTGAACCACAAATGAGCCTTATTTGCAGTTCTTGAATTAAAAAAAAATAAACCAAGAAAAGACAAAGAAGTAAAAATAACCTGAGCTAGAAAAATCACAGGACAGGCTTACTTGGGAGATTTCAGGCATTTTCTACTCCAGCTGTAGCCAGGAGGATAAGATGTGAAAAAAGTACTTATCAGAACATTTCAGAACCACAAAAAATGTTTGACTTAATTTAGCCTTAAAAATAGCTGAAAATGTCCAAATCTTTTTTTTTTTTTTTTTTTTTTTTTTTTTTTGTGGGTTTTTTTTTGGGGGGGGGGGGGGGGTAGATGGGTGGTTGGTTGGCTTAACACAATAATGGAACAAAAAAACCTGCCTTGCTAATTTGAGCAAGAAGCTTACGATTCAAACTGATCTGCACTGCTTTGAAACAAAAGCAAGTCATTAAGCATTTTTTAAAATAGATTCACTGAATTAAAGGTTTAAATTCAGTATATCTGTGACTAGCTGAAGGATCAGGTTCTTACTCTCTTTTCTTAATTTCACTACAATAAATAGAATACTGGCAAGTTTCCTTCACTTACAAGAAAAAATAACAGCAATTCTTGTCTTGGCAAATACAGGAAATTGGCAATGAATTTCTCCTGTTTGTTTAAAGTAGAATTAACATGTGGGGAATAATAAACAGTACATTCTAGTAGTTATCATATGAGAAAAATATAATATCTTGGGCAATTTTTTGTTTAATTTATTTTAACAGACCAGGAGCTATTGTGGATACAAAACAAAGCAAAATCATATATATATATTTATCCTGTGTTTGTGGAGAGAACAGTTTTGCTTTTGGCAAATATGTGTCTTTTTTCATTCCATTTTTTTAATGTATAGACTTCTTTTGTGTGAGTGTGTGAGGGAAAAAAATTACTTCCCAAAATGAGTAAAATTCCTTTCACATAAATGGTTAGCTAACATTAAATGTCTGGTAAGTTTTGTTACAAAAGTCATCAAAGTGAACAACTAAAACTGGAAGTTAACATTAACAAATAATCAATTTATTTCCTTCTCAGTTCATATAGATATCTACTGCTAAGAATATTTCTGTAATTAAGCACTGAAAATTAGATGTGACACTTGATTTTATATCCATTCTGGTCTGAATTTATCTGACTGCACGTTAGCTAGCAAACTGACATATTTTTGCTGATATAGAGATACTACTACCTTGTTTGTAGAGATGAAATATCTTCACAAGTGATATCTTCACAAGCTACAAAGTAGCTCCTTTGTTTACTTCCTTGAATTTTTTTTTAAATCTTTTTTTTTTTCCCCCCTTCCTAGAATGCCATATAAAAACTAGATGCTATTTGCTACAGTAAATTTCCTAGGGAATCTGGATGAGCCACACTTAGTTCACGTCCTATGACAACCATACAGCTGCACAACCTGCCTTTACCCAATTTTCATCTAGCTTATAGTTGCATGTGGCCCTGCTTACACGCTTGTCAGATTTTTTTTATTCTGGAGTACGTCAAGGCTATCAAGAATGAAGGCCTAGACGTGCTGAAATGAATGGCAAAACTCTGACAGACATCAATAAGATTGCAATTTCAGTCTAACAGAAACAGAGATCTCTTCATCTATTATTGAGAAGCAGCCCTCTGCACCAAGAGAAGGAGTAAAAAACAAATCTCTTGTCCATGGGTCTTTTTAAAAGGACAAATAAGGAATATTTATCAGCTGACTGTAGGAAGTGTGAAAGTTTTCAGACATTAAGTCTAAGCTGTTCAACTTAAAATGTAATAGCAAATGCACTCAAGAATTGTATTTGATGTCTCATCTCAAGACTGGAATCACAGTGACACAGAATGAAATAAAAAAAGCTTTAAAGACAATGTAAGGAAGACTGGAAAACAACAAATCTCATGGTAAAATATCCACAGTCCAATTTAACAGTGGGGAAATTGTAGAAAAAAAAAGGCTGATTTTGAGCAGAAAGTTCACTTTTATTGTACCAAAATACAATATATAAACTAGCAATAATAATTGCAGGGAAGCACTACTTATTAAAAGTGAGCAGAATCACTGTGACTTTGAAGAGACAGGGTATTTGATAACATGGTTACGGTTACAACATTGTTCCACAGTTTAGTGAGCCAACATGCTGCAAACAGTGCATTGTTGTACATTACAGATAATCTATGCACTTACTTTCTCATAATACTTGATTTCATATTCAGTAATGACTCCATTGGGATGTTCTGGTTCCTGCCAGGAAAGCTCCACGCTCCTCTGCAGCACTCTCTCTTTCATTACTCCACTGACTTGTGAGGGAGCTGTTTGGACAAGATGCGTCAATAAATAATAAGGAAATTTGTTGGATGCCTAAAATCACATGTCATTACTGACCCACCCCATGCTGAGCCACTTTTATTAAGGTAAAAGAAAGCACCTTTTCATAGCTCACAATTCAAAGCTAATGAATATTCAAGCACTATCCTACTACTGTTCATAAACTTAGAATGGGAATCAAATTAAAGTGTGAATAGCAAAAAAGTGGCATTGTTGAAGTTAGTGCAAAACTCAAATTGATGAGATAGAAATAATAATTAGGTAAATGAATTCTAATTAAGACGATAGATTTTTAGATTGATTTATGATAAGAATCTAAATATTTATTGCATTTGTTTCAACAGTACTTATAAAAAGAAAAATAATCAGTTAGAAACAAAACTACATATTTTAGGCTGACTTCATGTAGTTGATACTAATGCTGTTTAACAAATAATCTGCCAAACTATCTGTTTACAGCATGATTTAGGGGTGAAAACAACTTTGTTAAGAGACTGTTGCATTTGTTCAAAATTTCCCAGAACATTCTCTCTTTAGAGCTGAAGTTTCCATCTTTGATTCTGGTATTTAATGAAAGTCTGAGGCAATTTAAGAAGCAGATCTTATGAAATAAAGGGTCACTGTATTCATCTTCCTCACTGCACACAGTCACACACACACACAAACACATACAGAGTTTCCTAATAAACAACATTCACAATCAGGTGTCATTTGAAATTTCTGAAAAGCAATCTACAACCATTATACGGCTATTGAATTTAATTTAACAATGGTTATTAACTAGTAAAATACGAGTGACTGAAAAAGTAACTTTCTTGATCAGCTTATCTCCTACTTAATAAAAAAGAAAGGTTGTGGAGTTACTGCTGATGGGTACTTCCAAAAAATCCTAGCATCATACTTTTCCACAAACATACATGGTGCATACAAGAATGCGTGCACAGAAGTCCTGTAAAATCATAGCTTTCTAAAAAACAACTATAGCACTATAACTATGTAGAACTTGGCCTTGTTCAATTTATTGGAAATAATTAAATTAATTTAAAGGGTGTAACACCGATCACATAAAAGAGAGATAGAGAAGCTGATTCTACTCTCCTTTATTTAAAAACAAAGTGACAATCACATTTATAGGAAACTGATCATGTTTGGAGAGTAGTTTCAGAAGACAGGAAAGCAAGCAAAAATAAGATATACATTTATTTATGTATCCTTCAGGTATTGAATCTATAATTTTTAACAAACATAAGGATTTTTTTTTTTTTTTTCCTATGGGAAAAAACAGGAACAACTTTATTTCAGAACTGTATACAATGCTTTCACTATGTAAAATTATTACCATTGATTTCAAACAGATACAAATTCTGTTACAGAACAAGGATACTTTGTTCAACAAGTAGGCAAACTACATTTTTTCTTTTACCATTCATCTCAAAATCTAATTCCAATAATTCCCATTAAAATATTCTTTAGTATCCTCATTTTGCCTAATTTAAAGAACATAGGAAGAAAATATCAAGAATGCACATTAATCCTGTAGCATTAAGAACGAAAACTTAAAGTAAGAATCTTTAATGCACAACTAATATGATAATTCTCTAGGAAACTTAAAATTTGATTTCCAGTTTCATATTTTAATTCTGTTTCTAGCTCTTTTTACTATAACAAGCATAATCACAGAGGTTTTAAAACTAAATTTATTCACATTTCACTAGAGGCTCCAAGAGTCCATAAAAATTAAGAATAGAAGCCATGCATGATAATTTTCATTATAAACTATTATGTCATGTATTCAATATAATCAAAGTTGAAGACCTCTTAATGTAGGCTGCCAAACTAATAAAATCGTAAAATTGTGTCATGCAAACACCATGGGCTGATAAAGCTTTCCAGAGTCAGGATCTATCACTTCTTGCATACTCTTTCTAAAAGCTTAGAGTATTTTCACCCTCTAATTAGAGTACATATATTCCTTTTGTAGCTAAGAGAATGGAATGTGGAATGCAGAAAACTTATTTACTCTGTCATCTGATTTTCTGTACAGTATATAACTAGCTGTCTTCTTTGTCTCAATAAGTAGCACAACAGTTCAGCTGAATTTCAAGAGAGGTCATTATATTTCATGTATAATGTTGTATCTCATACAGATAAATGTTTTCAGACTGTTGATTTTACATTTTTGGATGTCCAAAATTGTTAATGTTCATACTTCTAATGAAACAACTTTATATTACCTATGTCACTGGAAATAGTTCCCAACATTCATTGCTTTTTGTTTTAGCTTATCCCATTTTTTCATTCCGATGGTCAGAGCATTTATTTTTTCTAAGCATTCAAGTAATATGAACTTACTTCCTATAGCAGTAGTTAATTTTGGAGATGTGGGGAGGGAACAGCAATGTGAGGAAGGAGAAACAGAGAAGAGGAAAGATGTTGATAGGGGAAGGGACATATATTATACAAGGTTCCCACTTAACATCTGTACAAAGCATATTGCAGTCATATTCCATTCTTAAGGGATTTACGTGCAAAAGAAAATCTCACTGAAATATTAGCCATGCAAGCCAGCATGCAAAGTCTTAAATAAATGAGCTGTATTTCCTGATTATTAATATTCTTTTCATTCAAGCAAGATCAGAAAAGTTTTTTGTTTGTTCCTTTTTTTTTTTTTTTAGCCAAAAATATTCTGCTATATTTCAGCAGTAAAAGAATCTATAAAAAAGCAGAAGAGAGAGCCCAGCCTTGCAGGCTGAATATGCTGGCAATTTTGACCTTGAGTCTATATGTTTGTGAGGCTCTGAAAATAATAATATTGTATATAAGACCTACATTCAAGATATTCCTAAAATGTAGTATGTTATCTGAACTTATTTGGTTTCCTACTTTGAGCCCCTTAGTTGCTGGGGGAAGGCAAGGTACACCAGCCTATTGCTACTGGAAGTAAACCTTAGTGACCCATAGCAAGCATATAAGCCAATTAATTAATGGTACAGGCTAGACATAGATGCTGCCTTTATCCTGTCTTTTTTGTTACATTTCTTAATGAGTGCTTAATGAGAGTGTATAGGTCAGAAGCACTTTGTTCTTTATTCTAATATAATCATTTCTACTGAATCTCTAACAGAGTTGTTCACGATGAAGATACAACTAAGTACACAGTCCAGAGTAACTTGAGTGTGCACAATCCCTAATGTACCTTTTCAGGTTACAAAGAAGCATCACTTGTCTCGATCATTATTTCCATAATATATTACACCTGGGGATACAGGCTGTTTAAAACATCATCTGCTATCAACTTTCTTTCTGATATACTTCATCTCCTCTTTTTCTCCTTCCTGCTGACACAACATCCAATGCATCAAACACACACAGCCTCTCAGGGCTAATAGTAGATGTACCTACACATGCTGCATAACGAAGTACTTCGTGAATGACAGGCCCTCAGCACACTCATTCACCTTCTCTAAATGCTTCAAATATACCATTCAGCAAAAGGAAAAATTGATTTTTCACCAGGTTTCAACATCACAGCCACAGAGAAATATAACTCTGCTGGGCTTTACTGATAAAGCCTTCAAGTTATATAGATTTCAAGCTCATCATCATTTCCAGATCAAGTTATTGAAAAAGTTAAAACGGAGGTGTCAAAAAGAGCAGGATATTCCAAGAAAATATTGTGTTCCAGAGAGAATTTTGCATCCGGTAGACTGGCGTGTTATATTCATACTGCTAAGCCAAGCATATGGTATACTATTAATATCTGCAAATATTCATGTGTAGAAAACTGCAGTGATTGTTTTGGAAGACATTGCTTTTAGCCCAGAGTTCTGCAACAATATTAAATCATAATATTGCTCAAACTTTAGCTCTATTCTTAGCAATTCTCTGCTTCTCATGCTTGATGTTTCCCTTTATCTGCAGTATACTTTCCAAAATACACACACAGATACAAAATTAAGTCTTTTGCACTTTGGATAATATATATATATTTTATATATATATATATATATATATATATATATATATATATATATAT